CCCCCCAGTCTAGGTGCTCCTGGGAGGTGACAGAATCTTAGGAGGTGGTGCCTAGAGGGAGGTCTTCCGATCATATGGGGATGTGTCCTTGAAGGGGACAGTGGACCCTGGCCTTTTTTTTTTTCTTTCTTCCTGGCCATCACGAGGTAAGTAAGCAATTTCCTCTGCCATGATGTCCCCACTGCCTTGCCACAGGCCCCAAACCAACTAACTCATCATGGCTTGAAGCCTCCCAAACTGAGCCAAGCCAGAGCTTTCCTCTTCTTTTGCTGCTCCACCTCAGGTAAGCTGGTCCCCACAAGCTGCATGCAGGGGGCCAAGAGTGGGGGGGGTGACCCCGACCCACTCTCATGAGAACTCACTCCTCCTAGAAGCCAGCATGAGTCCTTCCATGTGCAGCCTCCCAGGACCTAATCACCTTGCCCGAGGCCCCACCACTTTTTTTGCACCAGGGATTGAACCTAGGGGTGCTTAACCACTGAGCCACATCCCCAGCCCTATTATTTATTTATTTATTTTTTGGAGACAGGGTCTTGCTAAGTTGCTAGGGCCTTGCTAAATTGCTAAAGCTGGCTTTGAACTTATGAGCCTCCTGCCTCAGCCTCCTGAGCCACCGCATGCACCACTGTGCCCGGCCAGGCTCTGCCTCTTAAGGGTTCTACCACCTCCACACTGCCGCACTGGAGACCCCGCCTCCAGCACAGGGACCTCTGGAGGGCACAGCAAAACACAGCGAGCGTCTCTGCAGATACGACTGGTTAGGGCAAGGTGATGCTGGGGTAAGATGGGTCCTAAGCCCAAAGAGTGGCATCCTGGCTACAGGACAAGTGGAGACACACTGACACCGGTGAGGGCTGGAGCCTCGCAGCCACAAGCCAAGGAGCCCAGGAGCCCACAGAGCTAGAGAGGGGTGGGGGGGGGGGGATGCTACCTACGTGCTTTAGAGGGAGCGAGGCCCTGCAGACACCTGGATTTTGGACCCATGGCCTCCAGAACTGGAGAGTGCCCTGCTCTGAGGTGCTGTTAGGGCGGCCACAGGAAACTCGACCATGACCTGCATGGTCCTCGGAAGAGAGGAAAGCTGCTCTGGAGGCGGCCGGGCGCTGGGGAGAACGTGGCCCCTGGACTCAGACCTAGGCATCGACTCTGCCCTGTCTACACCCTGCCGAGACCTCAGGGGCCGGCAGGCTGCCTTGGCTGAAGCCAGGGTCCCAGCGCAGGGCTCAGGTGGGGCTTCTGGGAAGCGATCAGCTCACGAGGCCCCGCTGCACCAGGGGATCGATGCATCCAGGGGTTCTGAGCTCAGGGAACTACAGGAAGCGGCCCTAGAGAGCCCTGAGGCAAGCGGTGTGGCCACTGCGGTGCCCACCCACCCCAGGCCCAGAGCAGGGAACCAGTGCCAGACTCTCTGAGCCACAACACAGCTTTTCCCCGGTTTTCCTCAGTATCTTGTCAATGACCAGAAGCCAAAACAGCGGGGCTCTGGTGTTCCCGCCTGTGGGTTCCACGACAGCAGATGCCCCACGTGACAAGACCCCCGTGGGTCACCTGAGTCTGCCCCTCATGCACACGCTGACTTCGACTGTCCTGGCCCACCCTCGAGCCCGCTGCCTGCCTGTGGGAAGGACGGTGGGGCCACCGAGGCCTCCCTCAAGGAGTTCCAGAACTGGGATGAAGCCAGGGTCTCAGGGCTCAGGGCAGGCTGTGTGCCATCAGCGTCCTTCCTGTGGCTCCCGAGGCCCTGCCTGGCCTATCACCTGCCCGTCCCCGGCCCCGGCTCTGCCTCTGGCTCACCCTGTCCCAGCGTGTCCTCCTGATGCCCACGCAGCCTCCTGACCTCTGCACTGGCTGTGCCTCCTGCCGGCTGGCCACCTGGCTCACCCGGACTCCCTCCACGCCCAGCTCAAGTGTCGCCCCTGGACCTCAGGACCCTGTACTCCTGGGCCTGTCTGCTGCTCTCCATGGCGGCCTGCCCGTCATGAGGCTCTGTTTGTTACTTCTGCCTGCACGTCAGGAGACGGCTCCCAGAGGGAAGACCTCGGGAAGCCTGGGCTGGAGCCTTGCGCTGGCCCGACACCCTGGCTTTCGTCCCCATGCGTGCGTATGGACAGGGGCCATCACTGTGGTTAAGGCTGGTTCATGAGGGAGGGCACAGTCAGAAGTTAACAATGAACCAGAGCAACCGCAACGCACATCACACCACGCGAACGTGTGTCCCCCTCCGGACACCTCCCGGCACGTTCACAGCCTTGCTGAAGCGAGCACCTCCCGGCTCCCTGGAGGCCTGAGCGCTGGCAGGCTGCGCGGGGCCTTGGAGTCCTCATTAAATCAAACGAGGGCCACGGGAACGCAGCACTGCAACATGGCAGCCGTCTCACGACCAAGACGCCTACTAGGAGGCCAACCTGGAGCACACAGTGGACACGCCGGACAGGAGCCTCGTGTGCAGGGAGGGGCTGTCTGAGACACTGTGTCACGCCACGCAGAAGACAGTGCAATTCAAAACATGCCAGATGTTTACTTCTGCCTTTCTCCATTTAAGATCTCCAGGTTACAGCTGATTGCTGGCAACTTGGACGTCCCAGTGAAACCTAGAGCAGGGCCACAGAACCTGCGGAGGGAGTGGAGGGCCCGGAGGGGCAGACGACCTGGTCAGGGCCGACTGCCATCAACAAGGAAACGGCACACGGTGCTGGCAATGAGCTCAGTAGCTTTTAAGAAGTTCACGCAGAACATGACCCAAGTCCTCAGGTTACTCGCAGGGGAAACAGAAACAGGCTGCAGGTCTCGGCAGGAAGCTTGTCGTATGACCCTATTAATTCTATGCGACGTTTCAGTGAAGAAGAGGAACTGAGACGTCTTCTTGCCAGCGCAGGCTACATATGGCTTGGGGGATGGGAAAGAGGCCAGAGGTCAGTGCTCCGGGGAAGGCAGGACTGCCCCTGACCCTCTGCGGAGAAAAAGGTTTCAAGATCCTATGGACGAAAAAACGACGACACATCCGTGTGCAGTTGTCCTGGGACTGGCCCAGGACTCTCCTAAGGACACCAAAGCCACAGGCGCTCGAGTCCCTTCTATAAAATGACATCCTATTTGCACAGAACTGATAACATCGTCCTGCAGACCTTAAATCCTCTCTAGATGACTTAGGACACTAAACAGTATGTGCACAGCATGCTGTATCGTTCAGGGAATCACAATAAGAAAACAGTCAGTCTGTGCTCAGTACAGATCGATTCTTTCCCCAAAGCAGTTCTGATTCATAGTTGGTTGAATGCATAGACGTGGAAACTGCAGATACTATAATGAAATATTATTCAGCAATAAAAAGTAAGTCCTCACTGGGTGCAGCGGGCCTGCCTGTGATCCCAGCAACTCAGGAGACTGAGGCAAGAGGATCACATGTTGGAGACCGGCCTCAGCAACTTAGTGAAGGCCTAAGAAACTTAGTGATACCCTGTCTCAAAAAAACAAAAAAACAAAAAACAAAGGATTGGGTGGGTGCTGGGATGTAGCTCAGTGGTAGAGCACCTCTGGGTTAATTCCTCAGTACCAGGAAGAAAGAAAGGAAAAGAAAAAAAAAATTCTCAAGTCACAAATACATATTACTAAGTGGGAAAAGCCGGTCTGAAAGGCCACACCCCTGTGACTCCAACTCTATGACATTCTGGAAAAGGCAACTCTATGGGGACAGCGATCAGTGGGTGCCGAGAAGGGACAAGGACAGAGCACAGAGCAGTGGAAATCCTCTTCATGGCGCTCTGCACACCGTATTCCACCCTGTCTAGTGTGTCACACAGAACGGTGCCATGTGGCCTTCTGCGGGGATCCAAACACACAGAAACAACACCAAGAGTGGACCCTGAGGTGAACCTGGGACTTCGGTTATGCCCAACATATCAACAAGGGCTTGGACCAAGTGCACAGATGGCCACTCTCAGACGCCCTAACAAGGGAGCCGGGAGGGCCGTGGGGACTCTGTGTCATCTGCTCTGAGTTTCTGTCATCTAAAGTGATCTAAAAAATAACATTAAACAAGAAAAAGTAGAATGCTGGACCCCAAATTCAGGGCTGCAGACCCCCTGAGCCCACACCCCACCCTAACCAGGTGATAATGGCTGCATGGTCTGGAGTCGCGTGGATGCACTGAGTGGGGCCACTGAGTGGTCACTTCTGTACCCCCTAAATCCATGCTGGTGACCAGAAGGCTCATCCACAGGGACATGTGGATGGTTCCTATGGGGTCTGACCAAAGGACACTGCACAGAGGACAGAGGGTGTGGGGGCTCTGCTGCCCCTATGGACAGTGCGGCCAGGTGACCCCCTTCTGGCCTGCTCTGTGGCAACGCACTCGACCGCCACCTGCTGAGGCTGTGGCGCCTGCTGCTTCTGCCCACCCTGCAGCCCTCCAGAAATGCCAAGTTCAACTGAGCACGCGGCTTTGCTCCCAGGACTGGGGACAGACGGCTGCCCTCCGGATGCTGCAGATGCATCACCCCATACTTCACTCTCTTGATCTGGCCCTCCCGGGCTGGCGTCAGCCAAGGGCTCTGCACACCAACTCCTGTGTGCTACCCATCGTACCTGAGCCCACAAGCGGATCACCTCTATGCCCTGCCCCGATCCCGGGACCACTAGGGGCACCCCTGGGCCAGAGCCCGCCTTCAGTCTGCGTCTCCTGCCTTGCTCGTTCCCCCACAAAAGCCAGGACAAAACCAGCCCGGCCACCTCCTAACTGACCCTGGTGCTTCCCCAGGGTGGCCCTGTGTGATGTGGAGCCCACATGTGGGAACGCCAAGTGCCCAACTGTCTCCTGACTCGGCTGGCCTGTCCCAGCTGAGTGATAAAGAATCTTTTACTTTTTATTTACTTTTTGCAGCGCAGGGATGAACTCAGGGCCTGGGGCACGCTAGGGAAGCGCGCCACCACAGAGCCTAGCCCGTCCCCAAGCCCGCATCTTCAGAGGTGAGGGTCCCTCCTGCCACCCACCCCAAGCTCACCTCCAGCACAGGGCCGGCCCCCAGGATGGTCCTCTCCACGCCGCTGGCGTAGCCCTTCTGGCTGAGGGCGGTGAGGCAGTGGATCAGGAAGTTGGTGCTCTGGGTCTTGCCGGAGCCGCTCTCGCCCGAGATCACGATGCACTGGTTGATGCGCTTCCTCAGCATGGCGTAGTAGGCCACGTCGGCCAGCGCGAAGACGTGCGGCTCCAGCTTGCCCAGCTGCTGGTTCTCGTACATCTTCACGTACTTGGGGTTGTAGATGGGGAGGAACTTGAAGGGGTTGATGGCCACGAGGATGCTCCCCGCGTACGTGTAGATCTTCTGCTGCAGGAAGCGGTGCTTGAGGTTCTTCAAGAGGTTGTCCTCGGTCAGCTCGGGGAGGTTGCAGAGGTCATCAAAGTCTGCCTGCTGTCGCGGCAAGAGGCCGCGCTCCACCAGGCGCCGGGCGGCCGTGGCCTGGGCCACCAGCTGCATGTGCACATATTTGATGGTCCCGTCTGCGTTGCGCTCCTGCAGCAGGAAGTAGTAGCCGTCCTCCTGCGGGTGCTCGTCCTGAGCCCGCCGGGGCCACAGCAGCACACGATGCACCGGCGAGTCGTTGGCGTCCAGCACCCACTCCTCCCCGCCCGACTCCTTGACCTCCACCAGCACGTAGCACTTGGTGACATCTAGCCGCAGGCTGGCGATGGCATCCTTGATGACGTCGGATGTGGTGCTGTCCTTGGTGGCGGTCACTCGGCACGAGGCCTGGCCCTCGGTGGTGGACAGCCGTGGGTAGATGTACAGGTGGTAGGCTGCCTGCTCCCGGCGGCCGGAGCTGCCCGCCTCTTGCACACTCATCCTGCCGGCCGCCCGGCTTCAGCATGCCTCCCGGGCTCGGGCGAGCTTCTCCTGGAGCTGGAAGGGAGGTCAAGGTCAGGCAGCTCTAAGCCCCGGGAAGAGGGATGTGGGACGCCCACCCTGCACAGACAGCACCAGACCCGGGGCCAGAAGACCCTGCCCCCAGCCGGGCCAGGAGCCACCAGCTCTGGCTCCCAGGGTGACAGTGGAAGAGCCTGTCTTTCTTTTCCTTAGTGCTGGAGCTGGGACCCAGGGCCTGTGCGCGTGGTGAAGTGCCCTACCTCCCACCAACCACACCCCCAACGCCTTCCTTCTGCCCTTTAACGGGACATCTGACTCATGTGGCTCTCGAGTGATGTCACCAGACAACTCCAAAACCAAATCCTCTCATTTGCCCCATCCCGGCACCGGTCCCACCCTGCCCCACGTCCAGCCTCGTCCAGCCTCGTAATCCCACGTCCAAAGGCCACGACCATCTCAGCTAAGCCTTCGCTGCCCACATCCTTCCTGGCCTCCGCTCCCTGACAAAACCTCCTCAGCAGCTGCCCGAACACATCAAGTTTGGCCTGGGGGCCTGGGTACGTCACCACCACACACCCGGCCAGAGCGCTGGGAGAGAGCAGGGCTGGACCTGTTGGAACTGGGGTCCCCGAAACCCAACCAAGGAAGATGAGGTCAGGGCACATCTGCTTCTAGAACACGACTCCAGCCTGTTGGGGAGAGGAGCGCCCTCAGGCCCAAGCCACGGGGTGCCCTGCAGGCAACTGGCCAGTCCCCTAAGATGGCCAAGGTCTAGAGCAATGAGAAAAGGCGTGAAGAATCTGAATGCAGTGGGGTGCCTTAGAAGGGATCCCCAACCAGAAAGAAGACGTGACCTGGGGAAGCCGAGTGAGGGTCGGGGAATGCTACAGTCTGGATCCTGCCCGAGTGTGTTCACCAAGGGTTCAGGCACCAAAAGCTTGGTTCCCGGTATATAAGGTTGAGAGGGGGACCTTTAACAGGTGGGGCCTTGCAGGGGATGATCAGGTCACTGGGAGGGGCTTAATATCACTCCTAGGAGGCCCTGGTTAGTCCCCTGCAGAGTGGGTGGTTACAGAAAGCGCAAGTCTGCTGCTTTCCTGCCATGTGATTCTTGTGGCATGCACCCCCAGATGCCCCCAAGATGCCATTTGCTGCAAGGTTGTCACTCAAGGCCACACAGAAAGTGCTGACTGGATTTCCAGCCTCCAAACTGAGAGGTACACTAGCCTCTTTTTTAAATGAAGGACCTAGCTTCAAGTACTTTATTATAGCAACGGAACATAAATTAAGACAGATTGTAGATTATAGATTCTACATTATCTTTGCAACTTTTCTGTAAATCCCAAGTTATTCCAATAGAAAAAGCTCTTCCCCTCCCCTTCTGTGGTGCTGGGGATGGAACTCAGAGGCTCAAACATGCTAAGCAAGTACTCTACCGATGAGCTGCATTCCAGTCCTGAAAAAGCTAATTTTAAAATTACATTTGCTTTTGTAGGCTGCTGGAAAAAGAAAATGCAGCTGATGCTGGTGACAGCCCATTTGGTATCTTGGAGCAGGAGGTATGTATGCAGTGTGGGTCATGTGTGTGCCACTGAGGGACGAGGACAAACCAGACCTTGGCTCAAAGCCTATCAGGAGAGGCTGTATGTCGACAGTGGCGGAACACATGGAGCCCAACAGTGAATGACACAGGTAGGAGCACCTGCCTCAGGGTCCATGGGATGAAACATCTCCAAGGGAACCTGAGGAGGAGGAATGCATTCTGAAGTGGAGGAAGGAGGTGCGGTCGGCCCACGGCTTGACTTTATAAATAAAGTTTTATCTGAAGGCAGCCTGGCCATTCACTTACATGTTGCCTGTGCCTTCAGCCATCCTGACTAGGTGGGACAGGCACAGCAGAGCCTTTAAGGCCCAGAAAGCCTGAGATACTCACTGTGCAGCCAGAGAAGTGCCAGAGAAGATCCTCTAACTTAGCCCCAGCAGAAGCATGAGTCGGCAGCGGGGCCTGTGGGGCAGAAGTGTCAGGAGGGTGGAGGAGGGGAAGGCCAGGGCCACGGATTCTGGCAACTGTTAACACAGGGAGGGGGAGTCGCAGCAGATAAGAGGGAGGGGTATTCAATTTTGAAAACCTGGACTCGTAGGGGCTATGACTGTTCCTCTACCCCTGGGCACTGTTTCTAGTTACTTCATGGGTTCAAAGATCATCCTTGGAGACGCTTCTTCCTGGCATCTGTGCGCACCCCCTGGGGTCACCCCTCTCATGATGCAGGTAAGGAGTACTGTCATCTCTCGATTCAACTATCACATTAATCCTCAGAAAGACCTGCATTAAATGAGGCAGCTCATCCGCTTTGGAAACCACTCGGGAGATTTCTTTAAATGCTAAACACACATCTAGCATGTGACCAGCAATTCTGTCCCCAGGAATAACGCCAGCGAAACAGGCAGAGCCAAGGCTCTGGGGCATCACTCCTAGAGCCCCAAACTAGAGCCGAGCGCAACGTCCATCAGCCAGTGGAGGAGCCAACTGGCAGCGCAGGGCGACGTGGTGCCGCGGTGGGAGCAGCCTGTGGTACCTACTGTGGCAGGGAACAAACAGAAGCACTGCCCTATAAACAAGGCCAGACTAACAGACAGCATGCATGTACCCAGCCATTCTGCTCCTAGGTCTCGATCACAAAGAACTGAAAACAGAGACTCAAATCCTTGCGTGTGAATGTCCTGTAGCGCAATTCACAACATCTGAAAGATGGAAATGACCCGAGGGTTCATGACTGGATGAATAGATGAGCAAGATAGGGTCTGTCCATACATGGGAATATTATTCAGTCAGGAAGAGGGATGAGGCACTGGCACATGCTACATACAACGTGGACAATCTCTGAAAACACGATGCTGAGAGAAGCCAGACAGGAAAGACCACAGTGTGTGATCCCATGGACTCAGAAATACTCAGAACAGGCAAATTCACGGAGACAGGAAGAGACTAGTAGTTGCCAGGAAAAAGTGACAGGTGATGGGGACAGGGTCTCTTGGGGTGATACAAATGTTCTAGAACCAGAAATGGTGTTTGTGCAATGCTATGAATACACTACATGCTGCTGAACTGTAGAGAGTGGTGAATTTTATGTGATTTTACCTCAAATTTAAGAGTCCAGGCTGTAAAATTCCATGTGTATAAAATTCTACAGGTGACACAGAACGACACTTTGTTCACGTGCATACAGTGCACAGACTAGTGCATGCGCACACTCTTGTACCAATATACCCACAGTTATCAACACACATGGCTGCCCACTTGCAGACACGTGTGCGTGCAAAGTATGATCATAAACACACAGGCCCATGTGCACGTGGGGGCACAAACACACACCTCCGTGCAGACACACCCACACGCAGGTCTGTGGGGCCTCCCCCCTCACTTCTATCCCAGACTCAGGGCTACTGCAGCGGCTCCTGGCCCACGGGTGGACCCCGGTCCTGCCTCCCAGCCACCTGGCCTGCAGCCTGTCCCCCAGCTCCCACCTGGCCCACAGCCCCGTTCCCACAGCGTGGAAACCACGGTCCCTGCAGCCCCACCTCCCAGTCCCACCAGAAGACGGCACCAAACTCCTGCTAGTCCTACCTGCTGGCTAGAAGCCTTCCCTGGCCCCTGGGCCCCGTAGTCCTGGGGTGGACAGTGTCACTTATATGTGCCCCTGTGCATGTCTCCTGCCCTGCCCCCAGGCCCTGCCCAGGGCCGTTCCATACCACCACACCTGCTCAGGCACGCTGGTCTCACCTGGAGCCCACTACCACCACTCTCCCTGCCTCCCTGGACATCAGGGGGTTTGTCCTTGTCTCCCACTGACCTGGGCCTATGTGCTGTCGCCACACCCCAAACCATCAGGAGGGCCCGGCCTCTATCCTCTGTGCTATTGTGGGGGATTCCCTGGAAGAGCCGATCTCCATGTGGCTGTCCCACAGAAAGCCCCTTGGGGTGCCCATCTCCAACCCCTTCCGTCCAGCCCTCAGTGCCCCTGGCTATGCGGCCTGACGCAGCAGACTCCCTTCAGCTCCACATGTGCTGACGGACACACCCAAGCCCTTCCCGGGGGTCAGGCCCAGGATCACAGGCAGACCCTGGCGGTCTCCTGGATGGCCACCCAGCCCAGTCAGGGAGAAGCTGCCCCAAACGCCCAGCACACAGGGCAGTGCACGTCCCCTGGGCCTCAGCGGGCCTTCAACACAGGCCTGGCACTGCTCTCCCTCCCAGATGTCCAGGCCCTGTGCAGCAGCCTGCCACCCACCACCTCCCCTGAGACCACAGGGCCTGTCCCCACCCTGCTCTCCCCTGGCCACTGTCTGCCCTCCAGTGGGAACACAGCTCGAGGCTCTGGCCGAATCAGGCAGCTCTGCTCCCAACACAGAGCCTCAGGTGGACCATCTCCCCCACAGCAGGGCCAGGCCCACATGCCCTGCCCACAGGTGACGCCTGCCCACAGGCCTGTGCCCTGGTGGGGATGCAGGGTCGGGAGCTGTGTGGGCCAGGAGAGGATCAATGCCTCCTGAGGGGCGGGCAGCCCCTCGGGGAGACCTTCAGCGCCTTCCTTCTCTTCCGTGGTGTCTGCTGCTCTCCCATTTTCTGCCATGAACTGAAACCACGCAACTCATGGCCCTCACCAGAGCGACCAGAGGTGGCTGCCTGATCTTGGACTTCCCTGCCTCTAGAACAGAGACCCGAATCAACCTCTGTTCTTCAAAAATTACCCAGTCTCAGGTATTTTGTTATAACAACAGAAAAAGGACCAAAGCAGTGTGTCATTTCACCGATAATGCTGGGCTGATCCCCTCAACCTAGGCCAAAACACACCCTCATGGCCCTGATCCATTCTGAAAAACTGACTTCCAGAAAAGCCCCCCAACTCTCAGGTTCCCCTAGAACAGCACAGGAGAGTTACTATCTCTCAGCATCCTCAACAGCACTGGGTATTAATATTTTTCTCACTCTGCAGCCATCAGTGAGCATAAAAGAACATTTCATCTCTCACATTTCT